CCTTCCTTCCTTCCTTCCTTCCTTCCTTCCTTCCTTCCTTCCTTCGAGTTTCTCCTTGTTAGTTTCTGAAGAAATACATGGTCATGGGAGATTCTACAGTTCCCTGTAAGCTACATGTTTCTGACTACAAGGGGGACATGGGCTACACACTGCAAAAGATAACAACTTGCATCCAAAGGGGGCATGTTGTTTTTTATTCTGAGAGATATTTGAGCTGGGTGTGGTAGTGCACTCCTTCAATCCCAGCACTTGGGAGGCAGAGGCAGGTAGATCTCTATGAAACTGAGGCCAGCCAGGTCTACATAGTGACCTCTAGGCAGCTGAGGCTACAGGGAGTCCCTATCTCAATAACAACAACAGAGAGACACTTGCCTCAAATGCAGCTGTGTTTATTTAGTTACTATGTGTTAGGTCATTGCTTGTGCCTAGACATTATAAATCTATTGTCAGAGCCTATTGATAAGCTGTCTCAGAACTGCAAACCAAATCAAGCCTTTCAAAGCAAAAGGTTGCTGGTTTATCCTATTCCATCATGTGGCTTGCTGGAAGGTTCCTTGGTAAGGCTTCTAAAGTTTTTAAATCAGCCCAGCTAACAGGGTAAGAATCCATTCTTTCTTAAAATAAACAAGCAAACTTTCTAAATCAAGGCTTATCAAAATGAATTCCTAGAAGCCACACAGTATCATATTTATCAAATTTAAATTTGTTTTTGAAAAAGGGGGAAACATAACAAGAACAGTCTTTAAGTTCCATGGAGCTAAAATTCTCAGAACTGTATTTTATAGTTGTCCAGTATGACTGATGGAGGGGCGGGACATCATAAGGACCAGGATTGCTTTTCCCTCCCAAAGACATTTCAAGAAAACAGGCTCTTTCAAAGATGGACAAAAAAAAATCTCTTAGACTGGGCCTGAAGAGACTGTTCAGGTAAAGTGCCTGCCCCACAAGCATGAGGACCTGACTTTGAGCTCCAGAACCCACATATAAGAGTGCGTGGTGGCACATGCTTGTAATCCCAGAGCTGAGGAGGCAGAAACAAACAGATGCCTGGGGCTCATTAGCTAGTTAACCAAGGCAATCAGCAAGTTCTACCCCAGTGAGGCGTCCAGTCTCAAAAGTACTATGAACAGCTCCTGACAAATAACACCCAAGGTTAACTCCTTACCTCTACACATGCATAAACACACACACACACACGCACACACACACACACCCATATACCTACACCCAAGTTTAACTTCTTACCTCTACACATGCATACACACACACGCACACACACACACACCCATACACCTACACCCAAGTTTAACTTCTTACCTCTACACATGCATACACACACACACACCTATGTACGTGGGCCTGGCCTGTCCTACTCGGATTCTTGAAGTGGCTGACTCTCATAAAATTGATAAAGGGGATTTTGTAGGAGGAACTATGCCCAGAACTTAAGACCTTTTCCAGGTTTCTGGATCTGCGGTATTGATCTCTGTGGCTTCCTAAGGAAGAACATTTGAGATTCATAAAAATCTAAACCTGGTGACTGTGTCTTTGATTGATTAAACACACTGTGTGCAGGTTCAATAAAGAATGTGCATATGATGGGTGACTGTCCCCATATTTATCAAGAATTTATCAAGGAAGCAAGCAGGTGCTTTTGCAAACTGGCCTGGGCAGAAAATCTAAGCCGTCGCCTTGCAAGCTATGTGTTAGGCACTTGCACCCTCTTCTGGAAACTCTGGGAAACTGCTCCATTGTGTTGGAAAGTAAGGACTGCAGTTTGTCTACTGGTCTGAAATCATGGAGTTGAGCCTGTGTGCCAGGGTGTGAATGATTTACTTCATTTGTTCAGTCTTTATCTCTTTTCATAAGTTAAATAATGCATCTTCATTATATCATACAAATATCCCTCCTGGTTCACCTGCTGCCTTCCCCAGCCAGAGCCAGTGAGTTGGAGAACTGGAGAGCCAGAAAAAGCCAAGGCTAGTCCCTTGACTACAGTAGAAGTCATTTCTTCCATGCATCTACCCATTTAACTGTGTGTTTGTAGCCTCTTGTTTACTACTATTCTAACTCAGAGTAGGTTTAGAAGCTGGAAAGACTGTTAGATCCTCCCTCACACTGATGCCCCCAGAGAGCCTGGGTCTCAGGTTCACCACACACTGACTGCAGTTCAGCAGTGATTTGCATGGCTGGTAGAATTTGGAATTCTTGCAATTCAAGAGCACCTGAGAATCTTAATGACTTTTTTTCAGGTTTTCCAGTTAGATAAGATCTGATCAACTCTACTGATGACTTGATCTTGAATTTTCTAACCTCCAGAACATGAAGAATAAATTCCTGTTGCTTCTAAGCTACACAGTTTGTGGTATTTGTGACATAACAGTCTGAATGTACTAAGACACTGTGCCTACCCAAAAGATGAGGGGAGAGTCACCGGAGTGCTACAGTACACAGTCCTGTTATATGTATGACCCCTCTGTGATACCTAGAAGCCAAAATCAGAGAATCACACAAACTTCCAGTTGGACTGAGTATGTAAAATGAACCACTCTGCTTATCGGCATCTTCTGCGATGCCAGCCAGCACTGTATCATAAGCTTCATTCCTGTTATCTTTAATCATCATGACAGGGCAGAACAGAGGTGTTCATTCCTGTGTTCAGATGAGGGAACAGACTCTGAAGGGCTAATTAGTTTAAGGCCTTACAGTTACACATACCATACCTGACTCTAAGCCTTGTATTCTTCTTATAAGGTCATCTGACTTCCAGATGAAGCTATAGCCTCAAATCTTTTTGTTATTTTTAATACCAATATTTCTGAAATAAAGGAAGTACTAACTTACTAACCTCTTAGATGACCAGAGAGGTGCCACCCTGAATGGCAACACAGCTGATCAGGGGAAAGTGAAAGCACGTTTTCTTCTCCTTCATCTGGTTTCTAGGGATACACCATGTAGGGACTTAAATACTAGCTAAATATTGTGCTGATTAGTTAGAAAACTAGGCTTTTCCCCCTAGTAACTGTCACCCTCTAATCTATTAGACAAAACGTATATAAATCAATATCCTGCAAAATTGTATGGCTCCATTAGGCAACTAAGGAAACTGAGGCCCAGAGAGCGCGATGAACTGGAGAATGACTTAGGAAACCGAAGGCAGAGTTAGAACTTCGTCCAGATCCCATAGTGATCGGCCTTGCTCCAGACAGGTCTTTCTTGAATGAGCTGTGTTGATCCCATTAAAATCTTCTTGGCCTTCCTGGCTGAAGGGAGCAAACCCAGGACTGTAAAAGCAGGCACTTATTTATGAAAATGATCCCTGCACTGCTCCAATATTTTGTCCTCAAACTGGTGGAGGAGAGCTGTTAACCAGAGTATTCTGGGCTGACCTGATTTAGTCTTGTGTCTTAATTCCTAAAAGAGCCCCTGAGCCCTCTTTCCCCGACTTTGGATCCATGTGGGTGTGTCCAGCAGCCAGCCACCCTGCCATCTGCCTGGCTCCTCCCCCTTCTCTTGGTGTCTTTGTTTTAATAGCCGACAGTCCTGGGACACATGAGGAGACACCCTGGTCTTCATTGAGTTGCATTGGTTTGAGTAGAATAGGGAATGTAAAGGTCAGAACCTAACTATGGGCTCACGACCCAGCATTGGCCCCAGAATCAGATTCCAAAGGCCAGACAGAAGGTCTTCCTCACCAGCAACATGGATCACAGTTCTAATACTGAGCATTCCAAGAGACAGCCAGGTGGAGGCTGTGGCAACTTTTGACCTAGACTTAAAGCAGCCATTACACCCTTTGTACTACCTCTATTTGTCTTCTTAAACTTTTTTAATTTATTATTTTTATTTTATGTATATGAGTGTATTACCAGCATGTGTGTAAGTGCACCTGTGCTGTGCAATGCCCGCAGAGTCAGAAGAGGGTGTTGGATTCCCCTAGAATTGAAGATAAGGATGGTTAACTGTCATTCGGGTGCCGGGACTCAAATCTGGGTCCTCTGCAAGAGCAGCTGGTACTCTTAACTACTGAGTCATCTTTCCAGCCCCCCATTTGCCTTCTTTATCTCATTCATTCATTCATAAATATGGTAAGTTCTTACTGTGCAAGACAGTCTTCTGATGTTAGGGATACCATAATGAGCAGAATACACACCAAACCCCTGCCTTTTTGGAGTTATGTACTAGCAAATACCATCAATAAATATGTCAAACTCATGTATGCTCAGTGGTGAAATGTATAAAGGATAAAAGTATAGCCAGAAAGAAAGATTGAGAATTTTAATGTGGCGGCCATGGAGGGCCTCACTGACAAGGTGGTACATGAGCAGAGAGCTGAGGGAGTGGAAGACTCACCTAAGGAAGAACATTCCAGGCAGAGAGGAAAGCAAGCATGGGGACCCTGAGGTGAGAACACACTTGGGATGTTTGAGGAACAGGCACCAGGATTGCCAGAGAGTGATGGATCAGGGATTGAGGGAGAGGAAGTCCCCTACACTGTGTTCATGCACCTGAGGACCCCTCTTGTCAACATAAACGAGTCTAGGGACACCAATTTTGTAGAATTACAGAATAAGGTCCAGAATATGTCAGGCTGGATAATACAGGACCTGTGGAGAGGGGGGAGGTGGTACACCATCTTCCTGCAACCTTGATATCTAGAAGGCTTGGAGGAGGGGAAAGTGTCCTCCCCTGCCCTATCTTGTCTACTTGACCTTCATGGTCGTGCTGGGCTCTATATCTTGTCCCTGAAGATATTTCTTTAGATCCCCTCTCATCCCCAGAATGGAAGCTGCTCTGTGGGACCCAGCTGAAGAGATGGCACCCAGGGACATGCATTCCTACAGAAAGTAGCCCTGTACTGGTTTGTAGAAGGTGGTGGGCCTTGGCTCCAACAGTGCTCATAGTGGCCCCCGTCAGATGGTCTGTCATTCTGCACTTGGCCCTGAAAGAGGCAGACAGAATCTCCTGCCTTGGCAGTACCTACTGATCAAATCTGTGGAGGAGCGAGAGGATCCAGAAGCATCTCCTCTCCTCTCAGGCTACTTGAATTTTCTTGGTTCTTATGAAATCTGAGGAGTTAGGATGTTGACATCAGGAGGTGACAGATGACATGTCATTTGAGGAAGCAGATACCTGGCCTAAGGTATATCAGGAGCACAACCGTCTCAGTGCAGTGAAATGGAGATGTGGACTGAGGTAGCCATGGGACATGAAGTTTCTCACTGATCTCATGTGTCCTTGCGTCAGGTAGCCCTGAGGTAGCCATGGGACATGAAGAGTTTCTTACTGACCTCATGTGTCCTTACCTCAGGTAGCCCTGGAGATGCTTTTTACTGGGGAGCCTATTTCTGCTCAGGAGGCCTTGCTCCATGGACTGATCAGCAAAGTAGTGCCCGAAGAGCAGCTGGAGGACACAACCATGAGAATAGCAAAGAAGATTGCCTCATTGAGCCGATCTGTGGTGGCACTGGGCAAGGCTACCTTCTATAAGCAGCTGCCCCAAGACCTTCGAACAGCATACTATCTCACTTCCCAGGCCATGGTGGACAACCTGGCCCTGCAGGATGGGCAGGAAGGAATCAATGCCTTCATCCAGAAGAGAAAGCCCATCTGGTCACACTGAGCCAGCAGGGATGAGCCAGTGGGCAGCACAGGAAGTCCCCCAGCTGTCACCTTCTCACCCCACCACACTGCCACCTCCTGGCTATAAGAGAAGACAGTCTGCTGTTCTGATGCTAACATTGGCTTCCCAATGTGTGATTTGTACTAAAAGCCGTGATTCCCTGGGGGAAGAATAAAGGGAGAATAAATGAGGCTCTAGATCAATGATCAGGTCAGTGAGCACCACGTTGGGCTGGCTGTGGCAGAAAGCCTGGTATCTGAGAGAGTCCACAGAAGCATAGGTGAGGGGCTACCCATATATAGGTGAGGCATGAAGTGAGGATGCCAATCCCACCATTCTGCAGTGTCTTCTAATGCAGAGCCCATGCTGGGTGCTCACAATAAGTGAGAAATCTCCATGAGATCTTCTCCACACTGAAAATCTTGATTCTCTCAGGAAATAAGCATGCCTGTGTCTTTTGGATAATCTTATTTGATTTGAATAAAGTAAATAGTTATAAAGCTGGGTCGTTTCTTTTCTAGCCAGACTGCAAGCTAAGCTCAAAACAAAACAAATGAATACCCTTTGTATGTCTACCCTGACATACAGTAAGTGTCCTCTAAGTCACTGTGAAACCAGAAGATAAATACAGAGCAGTGAGAGGGTGAAAAACATGTATCCTACACACCGAGAGTCACATTCGACAAACTTCCAAACTGTGCTCAACTTCCGGTAAAAAACAGACTAGCATCAGTCATGAGTTCCCAGTTGAGCAACGTTTAAAGTAAATCATACTATTTTTTGGCTTCTGAGCTGATGCAGCCTAAGTAATATTCCAAATCTCTTCATCTTCAAGCTTGCTTATAAAGCGGATCTATCTACTATCTATTTATCTTTATAAATCTCCATGAGATCTTCTCCACACTGAAAATCTTGATTCTCTCAGGAAATAAGCATGCCTGTGTCTTTTGGATAATCTTATTTGATTTGAATAAAGTAAATAGTTATAAAGCTGGGTCGTTTCTTTTCTAGCCAGACTGCAAGCTAAGCTCAAAACAAAACAAATGAATACCCTTTGTATGTCTACCCTGACATACAGTAAGTGTCCTCTAAGTCACTGTGAAACCAGAAGATAAATACAGAGCAGTGAGAGGGTGAAAAACATGTATCCTACACACCGAGAGTCACATTCGACAAACTTCCAAACTGTGCTCAACTTCCGGTAAAAAACAGACTAGCATCAGTCATGAGTTCCCAGTTGAGCAACGTTTAAAGTAAATCATACTATTTTTTGGCTTCTGAGCTGATGCAGCCTAAGTAATATTCCAAATCTCTTCATCTTCAAGCTTGCTTATAAAGCGGATCTATCTACTATCTATTTATCTTTATTTTTTTTTTCCAATGCTAGGGATTAAAACCAAGGCCTCATGCATGCTAGGTAAATGCTGTATCACTGAGCTACACCCCCAGCCCTGATTTTTTTGAGTCAATATATGTAAGCTAAGAGCAGAGTACGGCCATGACTTTGACTAGTCCCAATGAGGAAGAAGAAGGTACATTTCTGCAATCCCATCTACTCCAGATTCTGAGGCAGGAGGATCAAAAGTTCAAAGCCAGCCTATATAACATGGCAAGAATCTGTCTCAAAAACTTTTTTTTTTTTTTTTGGTGTTTTTGAGAATGTCTTCCTGTAGCCCCTGCTGGCCTAGAATTCACTATATAGACCAGGCTGGCCTTAAACTCACAGAGCTCTGCCTGCCTCTGCCTCCTGAGTGCTGGGATTAAAGGCATACACCACCATGCCCAGCTTGAAACTTTTTAAAAATTTTATTTTTATTTTATGTATATGAGTGTATTGCCTGCATGTGTGTAAGTGCACCCGTGTCATGCAATGCCTGCAGAGGTCAGAAGAAGGCATCGGATTCCCCTGGAACTGGAATTACAGATGGTTTTTAGCCACCCCATGGGTACTGAGAATCGAACCCAGGTCCTCTGCAAGAGCAGTCAGTGCTCTTAACCACTGACCCATCTCTCTAGCCCTGAAACTTTTTTTTTTTAAGGCAAAGATGTAGCTTGGTAGAGAGTGCTTGTCTGGAATGCATGAGACTTTGGATTTAATCCCTAGTGCTATCATGGGGGGAGGGGGAGCCATATCATTCTGACCTGTGATTTCTAGAGATGTGGTTGGAAGAGTATCTCATGAGCAGAAAACCATCTGAGCTGCCATCTCCTGGAGACCTAGAATGTCCCAAGTGCCTCCAGTGCTCTCATGAGGTGCTCGTAAGGGCCAATGGAGTAGGTACTCCAGAGATCTCCATCTCTCAGGTAAGTAAGTGGTGGAGGCTGAGGTAAACACCTTTGTCCAAGTAGAACTATAGCATGAAGATTCCAACATGGCTGCCTGCTAAAGCCATAGATACTCAGGCCCCTGGCTACACTGCTCCATGGTAAATGTTATAGATCATTAGACCAAAAGCCAGAAACAAGGATGTTCACCTCCTAATCTTCACCCTCGCTCTCCTGGGGAGCTCAGGTGTCTGCTGCTAGTCTAAATTCGTTACCAGAGACTGAGCCGAATTTGGTCACCTCTGCAGGAGGTGACCCTGATTAGGTGGGACACATGTTCTGCTTCTCTCACTGTTCCAGGGATAGCGTGAACCTGGCTCAAGAACAAATGGCTGTCCTGCTCTGTGGCAGTGTCCCAAAATAAGGGACTGGACCACATACTCCTGTCTTCTGGAGTTCCAGCTTACAAGAGACACTGGATCTGTTTACTGGCAGACCAGATTTTAGAACTAGGCTAACAGGCAGCTGGCTGCAGTTCCAAACTCGGTTGTAAAGGACTGGTTACTGGGATCAGGCCTAGAGGACTGAAGGTCTGAGATAGGGACGCTTGCTGTCTACTCTTCTTCAGGTGCCCCATTGAGAGAGTTACAGCCTAGTGGGATCTGAACCACATGATACAGAGGAGAGGTCGGCAGACACTATCCACTATCGTCTCACATTTGAGAAATGGAAACAAAAATGCCCCATCTCAGTACTAGTGAACACTGCTCTTTTAAATTGGAAGGCCCTCAGGCCTCCAGTCTGGCTTCCCAGTCTATGAGCTGATGTGTTCTTGGGGACTAGCTGTAAATATTAGTAGTCACCTGTGCAGAAAATAATCCAGAAAAAAATGTGCCACACACCCTGTCCTGGTTTGTTTCTTCATTGCTGTGACAAAACACTCTAACCGTTACCAATTTGGGGAGGAAAGGGTTTATTTGTCTTACATCTCCCAGGTCGCACGCAGTTCATCAGGGAGCCCAAGGTAGGAACTCAGGGCAGGAACCTGGAGGCAGGAGCTGGAGCACAGGCCATGGAGGAACGCTGCTTACAGGCTTGCTCCCCTGGCCCCTGCTCAGCCTGCTTTCTTATGCCACACAGGCCCACCTGCCCAGGGGTGGCACCACCCACAGTGGGCTGGGCCCTCCCACATCACTTATCAAGAAGATGCCCTTCAGACATGGCCACAGGTCAGTCCAATAGAGGCAATTTCCCAATTGAGGCTCCCTCAACCCAGGTGTGTCAAGTTGACACTAAAGCTATCCAGCACACACCCTCTGGTGTCAGATAATTTATCCCAAGGCTACTATAAATTCTAGGATTACTCATATCTCTGTTTCTTTTTACCAGGATATTGAACAAAAATTCCAGATACCCACACATGATAACTGCCTTTGGAAAGTCTGTTATATTTATCTTTCCTTCTGTACCCTTTACATCCTGGGAACTGAGCCCAGCAGATCACACCTCAACAGAATCAAGGGCTATAAAGTCAGAAAAATGGGTACTCACATCTGCTGGTCCTGCATAAGACATTATTATTTAAAAGCTAGCTTGGCCCCTGAAGAACAGAAACAAATGGGCTGGATGACAGAACAACAGAAACTTTAGGAGAGCCTCAAACCATTCCAGGCAGTCCTAGAATTAGGTCTTCTCCCCACTCTTATGTATGAGACTCAGAGAAGTTAAGGCATTTGCTTTTGGCAAAGCTAGTATGTGGCTTTGGAGCTACATGCCTGCAAAGACTATGTTCATAACAACTACTGCACTGAACTCCTCCCACATACGGCAAAGCTCACTACCCAGCCTGGAGAGAGAGATTTGTGATGGGCTCACAGGAGACCAGCCGTAAGTAGGAGAGCAAAAAGTTTGCTCTCCAATGGAGATCTAGGGACACGCACACATTTGACCACCCGAAGCACCAAATGTTGGTCCCAGCTGTGTGGGCAAATGTAGGAGGCAGCCCCTGTTTAGCACAATGTTTCCCTTCCTGTAATCCTAGCACTCAGGAGACTGGGCAAGAGGATTAAGAATTCCAGGCCAGCTTGGGCTACATAGCAAGATGCTGTCAGAGAAGAAGGAGAAGCAGGAGGAGGGGAGAAAAGGGAAGGATGAGGAGGACAGGAAGAGGAAGCTGTGGCCCTTCCACAAGTTACACTCACTTGTCCTCATTCCCGAATTCTGATTCCACAATATGGGGTGTGCAAACAAAACTTGAAGCTCGTAACTTTTGCTCAAATGGAATGCTTCTTTGCAATTGGAGGAGATAGGAATTTTACTCTGAGCAGTGGCAAACATTAGAAACTCTTGACAACATTTGAGAGCCAGAGATCCGTTCACAGAGGCTATGAGCGTTTAGGTCACACGGAACCTGCAAAGACGTCATTAACAAAGCAGATCCTGCACGAGGCTGACCTCCATCAAATTTTCCCATTCCGCTCAATTCTGCCTCGGTGCCAGGAGCCCTTCTGTTATCCAGTCAGCTTCCTTCCTCTCACGATTTATTGCACGATGGTGGAACCAGTTTGTGTCACCTACATTAAATGTAGACTGTTCCTGCGCTTCATATCAGACCAACTGAGGAAGAAAGTCTGATTTCTAGTGCCCCAAAAATATTCCTGACAAGATTCCCAGATGATTGATTCTGCAGCATATTTAAATTTGTGGTGACTTCATTGGGGTGGAAGTGACAGGTTAAGCCTTCCCAGCAGTATCTGCATTCTACTTTTTTTATTTTTTGTTTTATTTTATTCTATTTATGTGTATGAGTACATTGCCTGCATGTACGTAGGTGCACCCGTGACTTGCAATGCCTGTGGAGGTCAGAAGAGGGCGTCAGAGCCCCTGGAACTGGAGTTACAGATGGTTGTTAGTCACCATGTGGGTGCTGGGATTCAAATATAGGTCCTCTGCAAGCGTGGCCAGTGCCATCTCTCCAGCCTGGTATCTGCATTTTTAAAGGTAGAAATGAGAGCCAGTGAGATGGCTCAGCAGATAGAGCATTTGCCTCCAAACTTGACAACCTGGGTTCAATCCCCAGGCCCCACATGGTGGAAGGAGAGAACTGAATCCCCCAAGTAGTCCTCCAACCTCCACACATATGCTATGGCATGCACATGCGTGTGTGTGTGTCACACACAAACACACCTACACACAAATAACAAATAAGTAAATAAATAAATGTAAAAGTTGAAAG